TAGTTTTTTTTTTATTAATTGAAAGTATAATTTCGGAAAAAGCAAGCCGGCAAATAGCAACAGAAGAACCAAATAAAGGTTTTTAAACATGCCAAGAGCTGTAACTGAGTGATCAGAATGTGAGCAGAGACAAAAATCCTTAAAGAGAAAATGAAATGCACACTCCAAGTTTTGAAGATTTTCATGCTCAGTTAGATTGAGAGCTTTTGTATGATAATTAATATCAAACACGGCTCGTATAGTTTCGTGTTCAAAAACAAAACAGGAATTATGCCAAACTGGCATAATTGTTAAAATTAATACTAATCATGACAGGGTCAGAGTGACTGCGATCATAATGAGGTCCATCTTGGTTAGCTTATCATGGCAATCACCAGTCTTTGCAGTGGAGCAAGCCTCAGAAATTACATCAGCCATCCTTCAAGTGAACAACTAATAGCTTACTTTGATATCCTTCCTGATGTGTTGAGTGGAAGGCTACATCAGTCAAAGCAGCCGAGTTTTACGGTGTTGTCATCTCCACCAATCTTTCTGTTCCTGAGAATTCGGCTATCATTCATTCATAAAACAAACATTGAGCAGTTTGTTTTCTAATTTGGCCGGATTTCACAGAACATTTCATTTTCAAATTCTGTTATAAAGTCTAAAAAACTTCAGGTAGAAGTATAAAATTCGACCTGCCGAACTATTTCAGTTTGTAAACTGTTGCAGATTGTGAACTTCGATGGTTTATGAACTTTGATGGTTTGACATTTTTGACAGCTTTAGTGTTGTTCAACCAAGCAGATTATTTGAACCATTCTAAGAAGGATTCTGATTGGCTTATATCGTAGCGTGCTTTAAGAGAGTATGGAGCGTGTTGACGACACTGTTGTTTACTTTGGAAATAAAGTTTGTATTGAAAATTGAAAATAATGCTTAGGGAATTTAATGGATTCTTTATCACAAAACAAATAAAGAAGCCTTGACTGTACTGTACTGTACTGAGGAATGCGTGACAAACCAATTGAAATATCGCAAGGATCCTTAGTTAGCCTATGTGTAGCCGTACCCCCCCCAAGGTGGGGGGGAGGGGAGGGTAAGGCTACAAGTGGGTACGGCTAATCACGGAACATTGCCAGAGTTTCTTTATCAACGCCACCTCGAAGTTGGTGACCAATTTACGGGCCACACGTGACTGATTGATTCAACATCCCAATAGAATCTCCAAGCTTTCATGTCTTAGTTCGCGAATGGAAATGTTAGATTAGGGATTTTATATGAAACTTTCAAGAGCTGTAGCTTTTTGCGACTGCAAAGTTGCAATCCTGTAAAGGACTTTTGAGCGAATTTCCTTAATTTTACTAGGCTCCATTACCAGCTGCTGAGTCTGCATAGACCACGCTGGAGGTCCTCGAGAGAACAGCTGTTAATTTAAGCAGATATTATAGAAGATACGAATGCTGAGTCCATAGCATTCATAATCTTGTAATAAAATTAATGTAGTTTGCACTTGTCACCACTGTATTGGATCGATCATGGTTTTAATAACTGGGATGTGAAAATGTATCGCTTATGAAAGTTTTGCATGCGGTTTTCGGTTTTTCGGTTTTGGTGTGGGGAGAAACACGAGACGTAGTCGAGTGTTTCCCCACACTTCTTTAGTGCTCTAGCCACTTCCTGCGTGCTACACAACAGAACAGAGGAGTTGAATGTGAATTGATCAGGGAGAAATCTGATGGAGAAGGGAGGTATGTCGTGCTCTCTTGTACAGTGACATGTTATTTTCTTCAGAACATAATCCTTTACCCTAATAAATGTTTTAAGCCACCTTAAAACTTCCACGGCAAACTTATATGAAGGGGGGCCTTGGAGCCTATTAGAAACTGCAAAACCGTAGGAAAAAAATCATCCAAAGCCGAAAAACCGAAAACCGCATGCAAAACTGTCAAAACCGGCTACACATAGGCTAACTAAGGATCCTTGCGATATTTCAATTGGTTTGTCACGCATTCCTCTAGATAACATTTGCGTTTAGCGGCAATTCAAGATCAGTAAAGGCGCGTAATTGCCGCTCAGATCGAAGAGAAACCGGAACCCAAATAGGTCAAATAGGAAAAACCGAAAACCGCATCGGATATCAAATCCGACAACCCTTTAGTATTTTTTGCGAAAACCGAAAACTAAATGTTAAAAAACCGAAAATCCGCAAACCGCAATGAACACCAAAACTGAAAACCGAAGTTTTTTGGCACCAAAACTGAAAAACTGAAGTTATAAGGCGCAAAACCGAAAAACTGATCTAAAAAATAGCCAAAACCACAAAACCAAAAATCCCAATGCCCCCCTCTATATACTGTAGTATGAGCTACACATTTCCTCTAACTTAAAAAATCAATTTATTTTACTCAAACAATCTTAAGGTAAGGTACTCCCTTGGTTACTCAAAATAAAGTAGTGGCCACATGTATGTAATTGGCATGGTTTATTTACAGTAACTGTGACTTTTAAACCCAAAAAC